GGCGGCGCTGCGATCCGCTCGGCCCTTCGCGTGACGCCGAGCCGCGGGATCGCAAGGAGCCCGGGGAGTTCGGCTCCGGCCTGAGGGGGGCACCGTGCGGGGCCGGGCGGGACGCGAGCTCGAGGAGGAGCTGGCGGCGGTCAGACGGGTCGGTGCCGTTAAGGAGCCGGCGCTGCCCGGCGGCGGATTCGTCGCTCCGATGAGGGGAGATCGCGGGTGTTCGGGGCGCTCAGACACGGCGCTGCCAACGCTTGTTTTCCTCTCGTCCTTTTTCCCGTGGATGTGGGAGGCTTCACGTGAGAAAGGGGCTCTGAAAGTGGCGGCGATCCGGGGCTGGCACGGCCTTCGCTGTTGCGCAAGTTCTGTTTGTCCCCATGGATGCGCTTGATCCGGCGACAGCCGCACACGCGGTGCTTTACGGAGCGTTGAAATCAGGGTTGAATTCAGCTGTTGCGCATCCAGAGATCGCTGCTGAAGAGTGAAAGGTCGTTGCGGAGGTGCAGCGGCTCCGTCACGCACTGCGACGGAGAGAGCGGGCTGAGCGCCGCGTGCTGCGGGTCGGAGCGGCGATGCTGTGAGCCAAAGCACCGCGCTGTGAGCGGCTGCTGTGCGGCTGCACCGCGCTGTCAGTGAAGGAATGCTGCTGGGGAAACCGAGTCCCGCTCGGCTCGGGCCGGCCCCGCACTGCTCGCGGTGTGGAAGTGCGGAGCGCGGCTTCCTGCTCGCACCTCGGCCTCGTCTCTCATTTGGGGTTCACTTGCTTGTAGTTCTTCCCTGTGCACATCTGAGAGTTCACTGTTTCCTTCCTTGCTAAGATGCACTTAGTTGCTAATTGCTTTCTTTAAATGATCGCTCGGTTCTCAGCACTTAGACGAGCTGCACTTGTACACCAGCTGCACTTGTACTTTGGTGGTGGCAAAAGCGGTCTGTGTTACAGAATCCATCTTTCAAGATCTTATTTTAATCAGCCTCAGGGTTTCCTTTGGTAGTGTTGTGTCTGACCCCCTCCCTTCACCTCTCTCCTCTTCCCCCACTCTCCCCTTTGATATCCATTTCCACACTGAAATTTCTTAGCACTTCTGCTGGGACTCACGAAGTGAAGCGTAGCTGTGTGCTCACCATCAGAGGAGTTAACTGGTAGATTCAGGTGAGTCGGGAAATGGAGTTGCTTGAAAATTCAGCTTCTCTCTTACAAGACACACATGTGAGTTCTTTCACATGCGTGTTTGGTTTGAGGAAGTATGTGAAGGTTTCTGAAGCTGTCCTCAGTTCTGAGTCAAAGCAGAACTCAAGGCTTCTGCTTTCAAGTTGCTCATTAGGAAGGAACAGAGATGCTGAGATCGGTGGTTTGAAAACCTCACCTGTAGCGCCATACAGCGATTGAGATGGAATGGGAGAAAAAGGTAATGTATGAGTTCCATAGGAACAGCCAGCTTTGAGCTGCACTGCTTTATGTGCTGTGAAGGACACAGCTGACTGCTGAGAGTTCTGTATGAGAATTCTCACTGGTGGACGAGTGTGAAACTTCTGCTGCAGCATCGCTGTGCTTCTCACCTCGAGCGTTCCATCAAGGCTTTGGGTTGGGGTTCTGTGGATTGTTGTTGTTTTTGGTTTTTTTTTTCCCCACTGCGGGGAGTGAAACCTCCAGAGCTGCTGTTGTGTCAGCAGCGTGTTGTTAATTGCTGTGTGTGTGAACTCTCCACCTTCCCTGAGCGCTTCAGCACAACGAGCTGAGCTGTGCTGGGCAGCAGGAACCCCCACCTCTCTCTTCAGTGCAAGACCTTCCTCGTTAGCACGAAGCCCTTGATGAACAATTGTTCTGGAGCACGTGAGCTGCACTAAGCATTTTCAACGTATACATATTATTTAAATCAGAAATCAGTGTATTCCTAACATTCAGTGCATAAACCAGAACGTGCTGCGTGTTTCTTCCTGCTCGTGCGCCCTGCTGCTGCCGCTCTCCACTTCTGAGATCAAAGATGGCTCTGGTGATGCTGCGGAGCTGCACACAGCTTTGCCACCACTGAGTTATGGCCCCAGCATGCAGGCAGCAGCACAAACAGCCCCTTCACCAAGGGCTGAGGGAGAGGAGGCAGAAACCCACGCGGAGTTCTGTGAATGTCATCGAGAAGTAATTCCTCCGTGGTCTGAGCAAGTTTGTGGAGCGCCTGCAGCGAGTAATTCCTATCGCAGTACTGAGCACAATGCAGACTGAAGTGCTCTTTATTGCGCTGTTTTCCGCTGCTTTTGAAGGCTCTCCCCCTCCCCCCCCCATACTGTTGCAAAGTGATTTAGTACCATAGGTAGAAACAAAGAGAACTTGGCTGCTTTGTGCTAAATGTTGTTAATTAGCTGACAGTAATGAGCTGACATTAACTATTACACCTCCAGTGCATGACAAAGATGGGTTTGAGATCTCTGAGGAAGTGCCAGCAGTCTTGTTACGGAGCACCTTGGGTGGAAGCCGTGCTTCAGAAGGAAGCTCGCAAGGCAAGGTCCAGCAGTCGGGCTGCTCAAATATCACACCGTCCTTTTCAGAACCTCCCTGAGAAAGCAGCACAACGCGGGCAGCTGGTTGTGTCTCAGGCTCTTCCTCCCGCAGCGCACGCCTGCCCTCGTCCCTCGGCTTTGCTCTGTGGTTCAGCCGTGTGTTCAGGTGAAGAAGAGCGCTGAAATGTATGGATGCGAGGGCTCAAAGCTGGGACGAGTGCATCTGGAATGTATCTCGTGTAACACGTTGGTCGTGACAAATGTGTGGTCAACAAGAGGAGATGTGTTTTCAGTGTTTTCTAATTGAAATGCAAAAGGCCGCTTTAAGTAAGGAGAAAAAGCACATTTTCAGACACAGGAATTTCTACAGACCACTGCTAAATAACAGCTCCATCTCAGTCTTCAAAGGTTTCATTTATTACAGTACACCTCAGTGTGTAGCATGTATCACAAAACCTTTGACACCCCAGCCTCTAACCAAGTGTACTGGAAAAGAAGCTTTCTTTTTTTTGCTCTGTGTGAGCCCAGTGGTGGATTTGAAAGAATCAATTTAATGGAGAAAAGCTCCAGTTCATTGATGCTCTTTTCAGTCTTTTCAGTCAAACCATAGAAGATCAAGCCAAGAGTTATGGGCCGCAGCTGCATTCTTCCATTGAGACCTTCTATAGGACATCAGCTGAGCTGATGAAGAAATGGTGACCACAGCTATGTGCCCTTATTCACTCTGAAATGCAAATCCGTCCCCTTGATTGAGAAGCATTGCCTTGTAACCATATTTTCCCACTCGCTTTCAGTGGGCGGCTTGGATTTGGTTAAGAAATACTGTCCTGTAATTACATTCTGTCTCGCTCTCATGCTATGAAAAGCCTCTGAAGAGAATTTGAGGATTTGGTGAGGAAGAGGGATCTTTGCAGCCAGTCTTGGTGGGCGTGCAGATGGAGCAGTGCGTGGCTTTTAGCTGGAAATACTGACAGGGTATCTTAAGCAGGGCAGTCAGTGTTGGTTTGTGTTTCTGCACCGCTGCTGCTTTGATCCCCCGTTTCCTGGAAGAGAGCAGTGGCTCTGAGCTGTGCTCCATTCAGATGATGCACACTAGGTGTGCTTTCCTTTTATTCCAATTGCAAAACTGTACACTGGATGAAATCCTTTCCTTCTTGTGGTGGGGCCGGCTCCTCTCCTGGTGCTGAAGCTAACTTCTCCATCTCGCTTCAGAATGTCACCTTATGTTGCACATTCAGTGCATTCCGGCTGAATAACAAGTGCCTTGTATGCAGAGAATCACACAGATGTGTGGCTGACTTCTAACAGAAGCATTATCTGCAGAAATATTGAACTGTAGGCCATCAGAACAAGTGATTTGTTCATACATTGCACTTCAGCTTTGGTGTGAATGCTTCTTCCCCCCCTCTGTGTGCAGATCTGTGCAACTGTCACGTGAGGGCCTTGTGGCTTTTTTGGCTAATTAGGGGTTTGCTTTTATATTCACTGTGTGGTTTTTGTTGCGTGGCTCTGCAGTTGGCAGTGGGTGGTGGATTTTCTGGGTGGCAGTTCCAAGCACGGATCGGAGCAGCCCATGCGGGTGGATGCACAGCTGTGCAGGTGTGTGCTGGAGATGGGAAGCTGCAGCTCCTGATGAAGGGATGGTGGCTGGCTTGGGACGAGGGGCCTGATGATGAATAGCGAATCTTGGATGGTCTGCTCCTGAAAGAAAAAGAAAAGCTCATCACCTGGTGGGGACAGATTGGTGTCTGGCTTTGGGCAGGAAACGCAGCGCGCTCTGCTGTCTGTAACCTCAACATCCAAGTGCAGCACTGCACTCTCGCAGGAGTGATGCCTTCAGCTTTTCCTCCCAGTGACCTTCATTAGTACTTACCGGGTCACTTCCCTTTGCTTTCTCAGGGAAACTTTTTCCCTCCTCATTGCCCCTTCCCCTGCTGCTGTCTTGGAAACGCAGAAGGCAAAAGCGTCGCATGCACCGATGCGCCGAGCTGTCACCTGTGCCAATTAAATGGAAGTCATCACTAAATATCAGTCCAGGTGCATGGGAAGGCTGCTGCTGGCCTTCCGTGCTGCGTGGGGAGTGGGAGGAGGCCTGGTGGTGTGTCCCTGCACAGGTAGCACGGCTCACCACTGCTGCCCTGCTTTGTTGGTGTGCAGGGAAGCTGCTGGCTCACGGCACGGAGCTCTTGGGTGCTGCATGTGCAACGTTCTGTGTACAGATAAGCCCCACTTAACTACGTGCTCGCTGTGTTCAGCAGAGAGGAGCCGAAGCTCGTTGCTGCATGGAGCGCTTCGTTTCCAGGCTCTGTAGCATCGGCCGTGCCTTCTGCAGCTTGAGCAGTGTGCTGGGAACAAAAGCGCCGTGCTGAGCACAAAGAGCAGCTCGCTCTGGATAGCTGCTTCTCCCCGAGGAGAACAAAGTTTGGGGATTTTTATGTTTTTTTTTCTTTCTGTATGCGCTCGCACACAAACATGGAAAAAATGTGTTTTAATTGGGGTGTGGGGGGGTTTATTCTAGGCTTAAAGCAGTATGAATTATTTCAGGGGAAAAAAATCCACACAGAACCCTGCTGTTCTTTTAAAAAAGAAAAACCACCCAAAGAAATCAAACCAGCCAACTGTTTGTGTGCAGGGGTTGGGAGAAAGAGCCCTCAGCCTGTGTTTAATGATGTTTAATCATTCTTTCGAAAATACAAAGGAGGTACTAAAAGCTGTTCAGCTAAGCTTTAGAGAACTAATAGCTATAACTCAGATTCAGAAGTGATTTAGTTCCAGAGGTAAGTCTATAATCCTACCAGCCATGAGTTAATCTGTCATCAGACTAAGGCTGGAAGCAAATCTATTTAACTAAGAATAGTTAATTCACCTGAATGTGCGCCACGATGAGGACCCTTCTCCAGCCACGAATTCGTTGTTGACAGGGATGACGATAGCTGCTGTTTGTCAAAGGCAGACAGAAAAATATCATTTGGATTTTGTGGTGTGGAGTCTCTGAGCATTTCTGGTTCCTTTCGGATGCTGGAGAAATGAGCGAGTCCCCGAATGTGAGGGCTGGTCTCCTGGGTATTGGAAGGTTGGAAGGTTGCAGGAGCAGCTTTTTGAGGTGGTGATGTCCAAACCAAATCCACCTCTCCCTCTTTCCTTTTCTTCTTGTCCTTTCGTTGTTTCACCTCAAAACAAATTGATATGATGACCTCTGACCTCAGAGTGAGATAATTTACAAAGACAACAGATGCTGGCGAATTGGGCCTCAGCTGATCTTAAATTCTGTGAGAAGGCTGTCAGTCTAAGAGTTTGCAAATCAGGTTCCCTCGTTCTGCCGTGGGAGAACAGCAGTGCTGCTCCTCAGAATTGCCTCCCATAGGCAGCGCCTTCAGCCGGAGCAAGACTGGCAGCACACAGATGAGGCGCAATCCCATTAGGAAGGGGCACGAGAAGCTGGAAACCTTTCGTTATTTTGGTCTTGTTTTAACCTCTGTTCTTCAGATGTCTCCAAGTGGAGCCTCGCAAAACGTGGCTGTGGAACGCTGCGCTTCTATTTAATGCTCTTTGCCTATTCATTACGGCCGTGGAGATAATAAGCACAGCCTGCTGGGGCCGTCTTGTTCTTTATTGCTTCGGTAGATGGCACTGACATGCTCGTTTGAGTGATTGCTTTCTGTGTTGTATCAGCTGCGATGTTGTTTTAGATTAGTTAATAGTCTGTCCAAGATTTTGCCGAGATGAATATGAATTGGAATGGGGGAAGAACAGCAGAGGACTACCCATAACTTACAAGTGTTCACTGCCCGCTCTAATCCGTCTTTGTGTCCATCACAAAGAGATTCTCGCAGACTGTTAGCCTGCTTCTGAATGCCAGGGCCGCTCAGCTGAGCTCTGCTGCAGCCATCGGTTGGTGTGCGAGCGGAGCCAAGAGAATTCTGTGATGTGCAGGGGCTGTGAAGCTTCATCTCATACCTGTGACACAGTGCTTGGGTCTGCTTTGCTTTGTTGGAATTGGGTGTATTTTGCTACCAACAGCTGTCAGGTTTTGTGACAGACTGGGGAGCGGAGCAAGATGCACAGGTCAGAATGCAGCCTGTTCTGACCTTGTTAATAAAGCTCTTCGCCAGCGGTGGGAAATTGATTTTGCTGATACTGTTGTGAAGGCAGGCAGAATGTGGGGAGAATTTTCCCTATAGAAGGTTGAATGCAGTTCTGAAGCATTTTAAAAGTATGAAGTCTGAACTATTGCTGTCAGCCTCAACTCTGAATGTATTGCTTACATCAGAGCGGGACCAGTGTGATTTACACTGAGTATGACAAACGGTGTAAGAATATGGTATGAAAAACAGTGTATTAGGATTATGGTCCAAAGAAATAATGGCTTCTGCATCCTGAAAGCAAACAAAATGAAAGGGAGCAGCTTTTTTGGCTGCATCAAAGCAGGCTGTAATGAAAGGGAGTTCTGAGGTGGGGAAAGCGAGCACAGGAGAGAATGGCTGTTCATCTGTCTCCAGTGCTCCTGCTTTGTTAGGCCATGCTGAAAGGTATCGGTGCTTGCTTTGCTTACCTTGGACTTTTCAGGTATGCAGTTGTAACATTCCTTGTCCGCCTGTGTGCAGGTCCTGCCCTGTGGATACGGAAGCACGTGCTGTGCCCATCCGAGCAGCGTCACCGCGCGCCCGTCCTTGCTGAGCTGGTCAGTGGTAAGTGGAAAGCAGCAGGAGGTGCCAGCTCCAGGTTTGGGGTGGTGGGGTGTCAGAACTGAAGTCTGGATGGCCAAATAGTGAAAATCGGCGTAGCTTTCACTTGGCATCAGTGCTGCTGATTTTACATCAGTTACAGCTCTGTTTTGTTTCTTTTCCCCAGTTTTGACTTTTACTGCTTTTTACAGGAGTGATGTTCAGGGACAAACATGTACTAAACTTTAAACTGCTCTGCCGTGCTGCTCTGATGTTGTCAGCAATTAAGGCAATGGAATTAACTGTAAATTCATGGATTCCATGAAACTGGTTGCTTGGCTCATAAAGTGAGGTTATTATTCGATACTGGGCAGCTAGCATCTACCTTCAGAGTGTTCTAATGCAAAGCATTTTTTCACGTTTTATTCTGGAAATTCAACCTATGTGTCTTTGCTGCAGTTGCTTTGGGCTCACACAGATGTAACACGCAGTGGAACTGCTGGGCTGCCTCTTGCCCTTGTTGACTGTTTCACTAAGAGTAGAGGAAATATTGTGAATGGTTTTAATGCGGAACGCCTCTTTTATACGGTACATCCATCTCATGTTTCCCAGCTTACGAACACTTCAAAAAGCCAAACCAGAAGTAAAACCTGTGCAAAGAAAAGGGAAAGGAGGGATTTTATGTACTTCAGTAAACAAAGAAACATAGACTTCCAGAAAGCCACGAACTAAGAAGTGTATAGCATTTTGAGAATGCTCTTTAACATCCACAGGCATTGTATAGAAAGTTCCCAGACTTTCACAGAGCTGTAGGATGTGTATTTTTTCTTCCTATTTAGTTTAAGGTGATTGTAAAAAATAAATAGCTATCTTAAACCCGAGTTCAAGAGGTGATCCTACCAAGGAAAGCAGTAGGAGTGCTGGGGGCATTCCCTGAGATCTTAGTCACTTATTTTTGTTCATCTCTTGCACTTGGACATGAGGCAGTGCAAGTTTGGCTTAATAAGGACGTTTATATTTCATCTTTTCATATTTTCTTTTAAATGTTCATCTTTTAAATTTTAAAAGCTTTCACACCAACTTGTCTTGGCTGGGGAATTTCAGCAGCAGTGCAGATTGGCTAGTTCATAAGGAGGACTCTAAAATGCTTTGGGAACTGAAACAATTAGTCTTCTCTTTGCCTTCTTGTGATAATTTTCGAACTATAAATTGCCAGTTATGTTCCTAGTGAATGCTAAACTGTATTTAGTTGAAGGGAGTCTTCATTAGGAAGGAATGTAGATAGAAGGTATGCAGCTTTAAACTCTTAGCCTGCATACAGTGTGAATTACTGCTCTTTGAGGACACAGCATGCAGTCTTTTGTTTTAGTTACAAATTTCTTTTAGGAAAAGAGAGGGAGTTTTGCTAGCTGATATTTGTCAGCCAGCCTTCCTGGTGAAGGCAGTTCATACTGCAGCAGTGCTCTGTGTGTTCAGCAGCTCACTGAGCACAGCAGAACGTGGCAGCAAAGGAGTCAGGCTCTTGTGTCTGCGCAGGGCATTGCCTTGGTCAGGAGCAGGGCCCGAGGAGCACTGTTCTTGCTTTCACTCTCGATCAGCACAGGCGTGTTAACAGAACGCTTCAGTTTACATGAGGCTGTAGGTTGAAGAATGTTGGTCATGCTTAAAATAATCTGGGAGATGTTAAAACTTTTCCTAAATTCCTCAAAATTCCAGAGTTTTTGGGAAAAGAGAATGTTTTCTCACCGTTGCTCCTTTCCTGGGGAAGCTTTCAGTGCTGAATGGAACTCAGCCTTAACGATTTCTGTGACGAGCTTGGTGGTTAGGTGAGCAGATAGCACCTGAAGGAGTTGTGTGTATTGTGCTGCTGTTGGTGCTGGGGTGACAAGGGGCCAGCACAGATGGCTGCTGCTGCCTGCTGCTGGGCAGGCGCTGTGCCCGGTGTGCTGTGCTGCTCCTCATGTCTGTGCCTTGGAAGCTTTGAGATACGTGCATCTGCTTGCTGGTGCAAAATGTGAAGCACGTGGGTATCTTCAGGGCCGGTTATCCCCTGTAGTGAGGTGAGGATGACTGATTCCTGCATTACGGGCACACTGGAGCCCCAAGCCTTGGAAACATTAGGAGTGGAGTCGTGCAATGCGTCGTGGAGACTGTGCTCCTCGTTGTGCGCTTAACACCAGCTGTGGACCAAGGCCCACCAACCTGGGCTTCCCAAGGCCTGCAGAAATCACATTTACTCTCACTGAGGATGCCAGGGCAGGACATAGGATGTCCACACTCTCTGTAGTTCTGAGTGCAATGACTGAAGATCTTTGAAAACTGATTCCTGAGATTCTGGGTTGTAGCGTGCAAAAGATGAGACTGCTCGTGTCGCAGCTGGTCTGAGCCTCCCCTTGTCTGTCTGGCTCTAAGCTGTGTTTCATTCATGTATTCTCATTGCTTAACCTTCCTGTTCAAAGAAATGCTGTATACCTGATCCACATGTTCCTCGTGCTCTAGTTTTTTGTGTGTGTTTGTGTTAATTTGCCTGTAACTAACTTTAGTCTGTCATCTCAGCTGGAGGGAAGCACTCATTTTAGGATATGAAGCTGACAACTTTAAATAAAATGTGCTGAGTAATTGGGAAGAAGTTGGTAAAGCAACCTTTATTTTCAGTGGTACAGCTCTGCTCCTGGTATTAGGGCCAGCATCATAAAACAGGAAGCATTACTTTTGGAGCAGCCCTCACACATGGGTGGCTGTTGCCAGCAGAGGAATGGGGCTGTCGTGAGCAGGAAATTTTTTCATCATCCGAGCAGCTCAGATTACATGTTTTCATTAGACATCTGGTTGGATAATTGGTTCCTCACAAGTGGGTAGGTTAAAATAATCAGAGCAGTGAAGTTTTGAGTAGTTGCGTGCAATTTTTAGCTACCCGTTCTCCCTGCTATCTCCTTCTTTGCATTTGTGAGCTCTTGCAGCAGGCTCCAAGTTCTGCTCTAACGCTGTGTGTAGGAAGCTGTTTGCAGGCAGGGGTGACTGGAAGCTCCTTGCTTTTGCACCCAAGGTTTTTAAACCAATTTGACAAAACGCACTGTATTTGCACAGGATATCGAGGTTTGATGGAAACCAGGAGCACCTCAGGATGCTGTGCCTGAAGTGTTTTAGAACAAAACGAGATTCACATGAAGGCAAACGTGTTGTACTGAATGTGGTACTTACACCCATGGGCTGGTGAGATGCTGCTGTGCTTCACTTTTGCCCTTCCCAGGAGAGGAATGAAGGAATTTAAGAATCACTGAGCCTGAGCTTCTCACCTGTCTTTGAGAGGTGACTTCCAGATTGCAGTGAAGGATTTGGTGTCGGTGTTCCAGACTTGTGTTTATTCTGGATCCATTGGACAAATGGATGATGTGTCTGCTTTCCACAGCTGAGCACCTCACACCTTTCCTGACCCAAAACCTTTTTTGTTTCATGAGGGTTGATGTATGGAAAGAAAGTAGTGAACGTCAACAGATCTGTACAGATGTCTTGAATCAGTTTCCAAATGTGTAACAGTGGTACAAAGGAACGTAATGAAGTCATATGTTTTATCTTAACACTCCTTTAGTGTTAAAATTGGTTTTGCTGCATTTGATTATTAAAGTTCTGATGGGATCTTGCCTTAAGTTTTCCCAGGATTGAGCCACACAGGTAAAGAAAGCAGAGGCTGACTTTGTGCTTAAGGACTGGAAGTCATTTGCAAAGTGAGAATTTTTCAGGCTATCTCTAGAACATTCCTGGGAGGCTGGGAAGAGCTGCTTGGTTGTATGCAATTAAATTTTTCCTGCTGCCCTTTTTCTCCATCCCATATTCGGGAAAGAAAAGGTTCAAGAAGGGCAGGAAAGGTCCACTAGATAGCTTTATTTAAAATTAGATAAATTTGATGGAAGAAATTGCAAAACCAAGATATAAACCCAATGTATTGTAACTACCAGGAGAAGATTTTGTGTTTGTTGTATCCAAGACCTTAAAATGCAGGGAGCTGATTCTCCATCACCAACCTGGTTACTCGTGCCTCATGCTAGAGGCTCACAGCAGCCTCAGGATCATAGAATCCTAAAGTCATAGAATTGCTCAGGTTGGGAAAGACCTTAAAGATCGTTGAGTCCGGCCACGACCCAGCCGTACAGCCCTGTGAAATGTCTTCAGTGCCTCCAATATTCTCAGGCTTTCCCCCCACCTTGTGCAACAGCATGCAGGTTCTAACTCATCTTCCTGCTTTCGTCTCATCATAGCTTTTTAATTTCCCCTGCCAGTGTGTTGTCTTTATTCTCTCTGGTAGGTTGTGGCATGCAGTTTGTTTACCTACATAAAGCAGAGGAACAAATGCAGCCCTTAATTTGCCCTTAATTGACTGCGTGTGCCTTTCGCTGACTTACTCAGCGATCTGTTGGCATGTTGGCAAGGCTCACCCTTCAGACTGCCTGCTGCTAGCACGTGTTGCACAGCACCACAGAGCCAACTTCATTTATTTTTTTGCTTTCGTTGGAGGGGTCAAGAAAAGGGAATCAGGTAACATGAAGAAATCCTGAGCTGAGGAGCCTGGTGGAGGCTGAGCTCACACAGCAGCCAGGTGCACTCACTGCGAGCCCCGGGTGGATGCTGGGGCAGCTTTGGTGTTAAACCCACACTGACTAGAAACCAGAGATGTTCCCTGGGGGCTGTCCTAGGAGTGGGAGTTGAAAAGATGTGTAATGTAAGTCGTCTGCGCCGAGTCACACCGTGCAGCCTGCGGGGAAGTCCTGTGTATGTGTGCTGTTTGCTCACAGGGCCGAGGTTTGCAAGGGAAGCATCCTTAGATGCCTAAAGAGAAGGAGGTGTGGAATATCGTGTGATAGGAGAGGTGTTTTTGTCCTGAGAGAGACTGAATTGAGGCACTGCAAAGCTGCTTTGTTAACTGAAAAAGTTGTTAAAATATCTGTCCTTTTCAAACAGACCTCAATGGCCCACACAGGAAAAGCAAAAGCTGTTGACAAAAGGCTGTAATTCATACACCACAGCCTCCTTCATTGTTAAACATGGTTCTTTAATGCACTGTATCTGGTGTGTGATTGATTTCCTTGTAGCCTGTTACCCAGCTGAAACCAGCAGCATATCTGCCTTTTTGGTGGTTTTTTTCCCTTGGAAATTGAGAATAAACGCAGCACTCTTTGAAAATACTGAGTGCTGAGACCTTGCGGAGCTGCTGAGTGTCTGTGCTGGGCAGCTGCTTCATCAGTCTCTAGAAAACAGCATTCAGAAAGCCCATTTTTTCTTTCCTGGTAGAAAAACTGGATATGCTGGTGAGACTCAAGGGTTAAATTCCCAACACTGTCGCATATGGCAGTGAGCAGAATCACAGATGTTGATGATACAACATAATTAGTATTCTTTTATGTAAATGAAGGCTGTCAATGTTACCATAGTGTCTATACTCTTTCAAGCTGGAATCTATGCGATGCCACTTGGTCTCTCCAAGCCTAGACAGGATTATTCCACAATTTTCTATCAGGACTTGAGCGGAAAAATAAAGAAGAGGGAAAGGAGGGAAGAAGAGGAGAGAAAGGTGAGAAGGAACGCCTCCAGTTTGGAAGGAGGAGACCAAAGCTGCGCTTTTGTTTACTGTAGGATTCTCAGAAGTGTCTTTGCAGGTCCTGGAATTTGTGAGAGAATGAACACAGTCCAAGTGAGAGCTGCAGCCAGTCTTGGAGCTGCTTTGGAGGGACATTGGAGTGGTTCGGGCACTGCAGAGTCACCGCGTTGGGATTGATTCTGAAGTGGCCGCTTGTGCTTTAATCTGAAGTAGAGGAGAGTTGAAGAATAAAAGGCCTTTGTGGTACATAGTTTTATTTGTCTTTTTCTTTAACAGATTTCGTCTTTAGCAGCAGCATCACTGGAAAAAGACTGCAATTGAGGTAAATGTGCATCATTTTAGGTCCGCTAAAATAAGTTGTCTTAGCCTGGTCAGACAGATTTTCTATATACGTTTGCAGGCAATTGTTAAATATTTATTCCATGGCTTTCAGAAAGTGTGCTCTTTCCTTCGTTATATTAAACCCTGTTCCTCAGAAAGTGTTCTGTTTTTCTTAAACTAAGCATTCTCTCCACCAGATCTGACACCATCTGTGACATCTGTAACCACCTTGTGTTTGTTATTGCTGTCCCTCCTCTCAGTACTGTGCATATTGCAGTTCTGTAGCCGCAGAGACATAAGCAAGCTAATTTAGTCTCTCTTGGATTATTACAACAGATACTTTATTTTCCCAATCTTTTTTGCAAACTGCAGGTTTTTCCAATCTTTCTTTCCCGTGTAGTTCTTATTCTGTTGCAGTTCATTCTTGAAAACCATTCGTTACTTCATTTTTGGTTTTGTTTGAAAAATTATCCAGAAATGAAATTTAATTCAGGAAAGATTCCCCCCACGCTGCTCTCCTCCCCCCTACTTTCACAAAGTCACCAAAGCAGCCAAAATTGAAGCCATCGCAGGAGATGCACGTTTTTGCTCCATGTTTTTGCTCAGATTTTTGTGCTGCCATATGTTGGGTCACCCACTACAAAAGGCTGACGACGAAGAGGCTACATGTGATCAGCAGATTTGTGGATGATCAGAAACTAAAACAGAAAAACGGAATTCCTGAGGGTCTCTTCCATGTGAAATTTCTTAACGTCTGCATGCCTGGGTTCCTAAGCGCGCTCGTGCTTGGACTTCCAGATAACTCTGTTCTCTGGGATAAACGTGTTCTCTGTAGCTGAGGGGATTAATTCTGTTCAAAGCAACCTTGCTGGCTTTCATAGTTTATGTGCATCACGAGAATATTCTCTCTCTCTAGGGCTTTGAAGCTGCGCTTCCTTAGGATGAAGACTTAAGTAGTAATTAAATTCTCGAAGAACCGCCAAGACTCCTTTGAATGAAATGGGGATGTTCCAGGCTCTGAGCATTGCGTTGCAGAGGAAGGAATGTTTCAACGTGACTCAGTGAGTACTGCGTGTCAGCGGCTGGGGCTGGGTGCTGCTGTGGTGCTCCCATCTCTCTGGGTTGTGTTGGGATGTCGGGCTGCACAAAGTGCCGTGGTGCTGCCAGCTGTGCTTTGGTGTTCTGCCTGTGCTCCTTGCACAGCTGAATCTCTCCTATAAAACACACGGGACAAGGACTGAAAGCTTTTTCACACTACAGTTATGATTGTAATACCCAGTTTGGAATTCTCTTCTGTTACAATATATTAATTTAGAGAATCAGCTTTTTTGTTTGTCTGTTCATCACACATGTACAGGTGCAGTCATTCCGTTAGGTTTACTGTAACAAGTTGTTACATATTTCATTTCTTCCCTGTGCTTTTTTTTTTAAAACATTAGAACATTTGGGGAAGTGAGGGGAAGTTGGAGACCTCAGGTAGAATGTAGAGCTGTGGGTTGCGTATAGATTGGTTCTGGTTATGGCAATTGTCTGATATTTTCATGGCTTCTGTGGAAAGCTGGAACCCTTATCTGGTTCCTGATGACATGCATTCGAATTCCAAATTCATTTCATACGTATCAATTTCCAGAGGGCAGCTAAAGATCAAATGTATGTGTGGACTGAATTAATCTTTTTCTCTCTGGAAAAACCCCCACAGTTTGGGTAGGGCATGCTGGCAGCTGTCTGGGCCATCCTTAGCACACAGTTAGACAGTTTGATTCTGTACGGTTTGTCAGTCCAGTATTTTTTGCTGGTAATGAAAACTGCATTTAAAGAAATTGTGCGTGAAAATAATGTAGTTGGCCGAAGGAAAACTGTGAATGGAATAACACAGCACCTGTATTTTTGTAGGTCTTTACATCTAGTACAAAAGAGATCATTTTAGATGTGTACTGGCTCAGAGATTTTTTTATTTTTTATCTTTTTTTGCCTTACAAGGTCAAAGCAGCGAAGACTTTTGTAAGAGATGGATAGATGCAAACATGTTGGGCGGCTACGACTCGCCCAGGACCATTCTATCCTGAACCCACAGAAGTGGCACTGCGTGGACTGCCAGACAACTGAATCAATCTGGGCTTGTCTGAAATGCTCCCATGTAGCCTGTGGGAGGTACATGGAGGAGCATGCACTAAAACACTTTGAAGAAACCAGACATCCATTGGCAATGGAAGTGAACGATCTGTATGTATTTTGTTACCTTTGTGAAGATTATGTCTTGAATGATAACCCGGAGGGTGACTTGAAATTGCTGAGAAGTTCCCTGTCAGCGATTAAAAGTCAAAAACATGATCCATCAACGAGAAGCGGGAGGACGCTGCGATCCATGACTTTGGGAGAGGACGTGTGCAGCCATCAGAGGAGCCCTCAGGGACAATCTCAGATGCTTACAGCTCTCTGGCACAGGCGCCAGTCTTTGCTTGCCAAGGCACTGCGGACCTGGTTTGGTAAGAGCTCCAGAGGCCAGCTGAAGTTACAGCAAAAGAAGCAGATGGAGGAGTTGGAGAAGAAGAAGGAGGCGGCGAGGCGGCGACGGCAGGAGATGAAGAGACAGCTTCTGGAGGAGCTGGCAAACACTCCTCCGAGGAAGAGTGCGAGGCTGCTGTCGCACGTGCACAGAGAGAACTTGATTCCAAGGAAATTCAGGGAGGTGGCGACCGCTTCCCCTACCTCAAGGCAGATGCAGAGCAGCAGATTGAATCAGTTTTATTCCATCCGGCGTAAGCATCTGATGACTCCCGGGGTGACGGGTCTGAGGAACCTGGGAAACACATGTTACATGAACTCTATTCTGCAAGTGCTGAGCCACCTCCAGAAATTTAGAGAATGTTTTTTGACACTTGATCTCTGTGAAACGGAAGAACTCTTGGCCAAAACTGTGAACGGGAAGTCTAGGTTGCCTGGCAGATTGGCAAATGGATCTGCTGCTAATGAGTCAGGGAGGACTGACAAAGTGGGATCATACGGCACGCAGAGCTTGCCAGCTGGCTTAAATGGCAGCTCCTCAATAAGCAGGAGTTTAGAACTAATACAACCCAAGGAACCGCGTTCCAAGCACATCTCCCTCTGTCACGAATTGCACACCCTCTTCAGAGTGATGTGGTCTGGCAAGTGGGCCCTTGTGTCCCCGTTTGCCATGCTGCACTCTGTGTGGAGTCTGATCCCGGCGTTCCGAGGTTACGATCAGCAGGACGCTCAGGAATTCCTATGCGAGCTGTTGGATAAAGTGCAGCAGGAGCTGGAGTCGGAAGGAACGAAGCGCAGGATCCTCATCCCTTTCTCGCAGAGGAAGCTCACCAAGCAGGTCCTCAAGGTGGTGAACACCATTTTTCACGGGCAGTTGCTCAGTCAGGTACGCACCTGGTTTTGCACAGAAATCAGTTGGAGTGGTTAGCACCAAGAAGCAAAGGTTTCGTTTCTTCGGAAACCACCAAATACTGAGAGGAATTGATTGGGAGTGCCTCCTGAGAATGAAAACTGCTTAATTGCTGTGCAGGTTCTCAGGGTTTTGATGCTTTTCACATCTGTTGTTAATTTAGTGCCACTTGGGGATGACATCTGCTCTGGTATGGAAGTTCTGAGCTCTTAGTTTTAAGTTTATTGTGTTTTTAAAGTATCTTTGTAATTTTTATCTCTTTGCTTTTGTTTCTGTGGCTACAAAGAATATGATGAAGGACAGAGGGCAGTCATCCTATGCTCTGAAGAAGAAGCTATTCATGACAGTTTTTCTTTGCAGGCATTTGAATGTCATCTTGAGATACTGAGTGTGCTTAACATACACTTCTGCAGCAGATGATTGCACCCGCGCTGTCAAACTGCTTGATCTCTTATTCCTGTGCCATTGCCCTGTCTGAAACACATTGTGCCCACAAGGCTGACCCTCAAGCACAGTGTGTGTGAACATCCTCAGCTACTTTTGCTTTTCAAGGGAAATGAATGTGTACATAACTTGATGCTCCAGGGCCTGCAGGGTCGGACCACAAGGCGCCCTGTGTAGGTGTGATCTCATTCGTATTTGTGCAGTTTTCCTAGTGCCAGTCTTACTAAGCTTACCACTCAGAAGAACTCCTAAGTGCACATTAAATATTAAATAGAAAAGGTGTATTTTTCAAGTTAAAGCTTTTGTTTTTTTTGGGGAAAGAATGCTTGAAGTCGTGCTTCATCTGAGTCATCTTTGCATTGCATGAAATTCTTGTGTGCTTCTTAACCAATCATTCTTTATTCAGCCCTGTCTCTTGGCTGGAGTTGTGTTGTGCCCAAGGTCAGTGTTTCTAGTTAACTGTGGGAAGATGTTCACAAATCATGTAATTTATCTGTTATTATTTACAGTGCTGTAAATAACTGGACAAGCTGTTTATTCAGCGTAACTTGTATACAGAGACTGGGTTTAATTTTAACCCCTCTAAGACTTCCTTATCCACAGTGACTTGCAGTCACTGGTGCCTTCAGTGGATGGAGTTGGCTGGAGAGCCAGGGCCAGGCTGGAAGCTGACTTCCTGGTGGATGATTTCCATAAGAATGCAAAGTCTGAATCTGCTTTCTGGTTTCGTTACCTCTTCGTTTTCTCACTTGTTGCCTCTCAGTTTAGTTGAGAACGTTTCTCCTGTTCTCACTAACAGTACCCCAGGATGATGTGAGAAAACAAGTGCTTTTGAAGTTTGTCTTTTTGTGCTCCAGTCATGAATAGTTTTTGCATGGTTAGCAGATGAAATGTGCAAGGAAAATAGAGAAACAGTGGGAGGAAGTGGCACGATAAATGCTAACGTTTATTGGTTGCAATTCCAAACTGCTTATTGCCAGCTGTGAGGAAACCTCATGCCTGTAATGTTCTTCCTCTGAACACCATGCAGGTGAATATTGTCTCCATTTTTGGAGATCTGAGGGAAGTAGTTTAACTTACTTGCTCAGGATAGGTTTAGCTTTCAAACTGGAAGCAAGCAGCATTTCCCTTGACCGACTGAGTGTTTGTGTGTCTGTGGAAACACACTGCCTTCTGGGCACGATGGTGCTGTTGAGGTGTGAGTGTAAATGCCTGTCTGCAAGTGTCCATGTGCATAACTTCATCTGTGTGTAAACATTTTAATTCCCAGGTCACCTGTATAACATGCAACTACAAATCCAACACCGTTGAGCCCTTTTGGGATCTTTCCCTGGAGTTTCCTGAGCGCTATCACTCTATTGAGAAGGGGATTATCCCTGTTAACCAGGCAGAGTGCATGCTGACGGAAATGTTGGCCAAGTTCACAGAAACTGAAGCTCTGGAAGGGAGGATATATGCGTGTGACCAATGCAACAGTAAGTCCAGAGCTGCTGCTGGCTTTGCCAGTTAGAAGCACTGTGTTTTCCAAGTGAGAGATTTCTATTGTGTTCTCAAGACAAAACGTACATGTCGTAACCAGTACATATATTGCTGTTCATGCTGTTTTGTATCTTCCTGCTGGTGGCTTCTGCTGCTCCTTCAGGAATCAGTTTGGAACCAAAAAGTCATTCTTCTGTTGTCTCTGCTACTGAGCAGTGCGATTTACCAAGGATTTAATGCAGCTCTGCTTAGAGCTGCTCTCACTCTGTGTGTTGGAAGGAAGGCAACTGCAAGAGTTTGGATGCAGAAGGGTTGGACTTAAGGACAGAAAGGGGCCATTATACTGTACGTTTTTCACATCTGTGTGGCAGGAAAGCTGTTGTAACAAGTTTTCTGTATGTCATCTGTTCCCTCATGTCACTTAACCAGAAATCACAACTGTGGATTTCTCACATCTGCCACCAGGTTAGTTTTTCTATCTCTCTATTGGCGTTTGGACAAAAAGCAATGAACTGACATTATTATGGAAGGTTCAGGTTATTGTATTGTCTGTTATTTGAATGCATGTATTTTGCTGCTCTCAGCTGGAAGATTATTTCTGCTTTCCTGCATAGGTCTGACTGTAAGATTACAGAATCACAGAATTGTAGGGGTTGGAAGGGACCTCCAGAGATCATCGAGTCCAACCCCCCGCCAAAGCAGTTCCCTACACCAAGATCATTACATGAAAATAGTTTTACCCCTGTGTTTAATCATGTAGCTCAGCTACTCTGATAAGCTGGATTTGAAATTTTTGTGTGTAGGTATTTATGGCAAATATTCCTCCTCTTGTGTGGAAAATCCCAGTAATTCAACTTACATGGCAACTAAGCAGCTGAAGCAGCAAGCATTCATAGAAATCTTTTTGCTATCAGTGTGTGAATCTGCTCTTGAGCGTATTCCCAAAATGTTAGGGAGTAACCATTCTCTTAGCTGTTCTGAAAGCCAAATACAGCTCAGATTCACAAGTAATGTTTGCAGAGTGTCAGCACGGACGAGTGCAGCTTTTACCTTAACTCAGTTTCCTGTGGTTCTTTGTGAACACCAGAGTTAAATGGCTGCAGAAATACTAACCAGCTAAAAAAAAAAAGAAAAAAAAAAAGGCAGAGGCAGACAGCCTGCATCTGAGTGCCAAAAACTACTGGGGGCACTGCCTGTCAGATGAGATAGAGGAGGAGCAACCATCTGTTCCAACCTGGTGCGGTGAGATGTAGAAGTCTAATTAGCAGGTACATTTCTTATTGGAAGCACTGACAGCCACCTGTCTTCCTCATGGTGCAGTCGTATGTTTGGTGTACTGGAAAGAGTGATCACTGGGAAGAGAAACCTTTCTTCCCTCTTCTGTTTCTGTTTAGCAGTTCCTTTTCCTTTGTGAGCAGTCAGAACTCCTGGAAGTCGAACCTTGCTGGAAGCATTTTTCCTCTGACTTGGATTAATATCTTAGAGCCATCTTGTGATGGCCTGGTAAATGGATCAAAGTAGTACTTTAAAGAATACAGTGTCAAGGGCTGTGTTTTGAATGCTGTTCACCTGTTGAAATTGCTGCAGCCCTGGGTGCCATTGGCCTGGCTTCCCCTAAATGCTTTGGTGCACTTCTTAGAGCAACAAGTCAGCACAAACAGCTCAGGGTTTGATATCTGATTGTGTGATTATCAGCATCACAAGAGGAAAAAAAAAAAAAGAAAAAAGCTTTAGATATTTTCAAGCATGGCTTCCATTAAAAATAACAATAATGACACCTTAACAATCTTTGCTGTGATTTTTTTTTTTCCCATAGGCAAACGACGAAAGTCTTCTCCCAAGCCTCTTGTTCTGAGTGAAGCTAAGAAGCAGTTGATGATCTACAGACTACCTCAGGTCCTCCGGCTGCACCTTAAAAGATTCAGGTGAGTGGGGCAGTGCAGGGAGCTGCCAGGCACGCAGCTGCTGTCTTGTGGGAGAGAAGTGGTCAGCGTGGCCTCTTAGCTTCCCTGACCTTCTGAGCAGTGTGTGCTTATAAATGTTTTACCCAGCCCAGCTGTGTGATGCACACTGAGTAACACCAATGTTAAAAGCTGATGTTTGTCACATGCTTTCATGCGGTGCAGCGCGTTGTGAATTGTGCTCAGCAAATCTGTCTGGTCTTGCAAACAGCTTGAAGCAGTGGCTGTGAGGCAGGTGAACTGATCTGCTGAGTGAAAGATGGGATGAATTTTACTGCCTGTATCAGCTCTTTATCTATTGAATTAAGACTTAAACACAGTTGAAAATACGAAGTTTCTAAAATGTTAGTGTAGGTAATTATGAGATGTGAGGGTTTTATATTTGTATAATGGTGCTTGACCTTTACATTAGATGTTCTGTTTTCTTGAAATTGGCTGTTATAAATCTAAAGCATACCTTCAGCTAATAAGCATCAGGGACAGAAGCAGTTTTATGCCAAAGATGACTGCAGTAGATGTTGAAGTGACAGCAGATGAAAAAGTTGTGGTGCCTACTTGAAGGAAAACTCCTCAAACTGTGCTGCAGTGCTCCTGAGTTCGTCTTCCATTCCTGCAGCCCTCTGCCACTGCCAAGAAAGATTCAGAGGCTTTGATGATGCTCTTGTGTTTGCAGGTGGTCTGAACGCAATCACCGTGAGAAGATTGGGGTCCATGTCCTCTTTGACCAGGTACTAAACATGGAACCTTACTGCTGCAGGGACTCTCTCTCCTCTCTTGACAAAGAGACCTTTGTCTATGACCTCTCCGCTGTGGTGATGCATCATGGTAAAGGGTTTGGCTCAGGACACTACACAGCATATTGCTACAACACAGAGGGAGGTGCGTGTGCCTTATTACAGGGAAACAAATTCAAGAAATCTGTGTTTTATTCCATAGATGTAGTGTATTGTAAAGCTTCATATCAAGGTTGTTTAGAAACAAGTTTCCTGACACTCAGTAGTTTGTTTCCCAGCATGTATTACTGGTAGCACGTTTTCTTTTTTTTTTTTTTTAATGGTGTGTGTGTAAAGAGCACAGATTGCTGCTCTTTGCTGTGCGGCGCTTTGGGATGCCTTTTATTGCTCACTGTTAACAGCATGAATGCTTCATTTTCTCACGGGATGTAACTCTGTGAAGCTAATCCAGCTGGGTCTTTTCTCAGCATCCTTGGGATGGTGAGATAAACAGAAAGTGTTTTGAAACTGGACAGGAACTATTCATGAATGACATCCTCAGGGTTTTTGTGAATTTCCAGCAGTCTCTTTCTTCAACTGAATCAGCATTGTTTCTGCCTTTTAACTGATGGAGAAAGAGGTACAAATTGGCTTTCTCCAGGGAATTCTTATTTTCCTTATTGAGTTTTGGGGCCATCATGTGAAATTGGTTAGATTATCATTTGATATTTGTCAACCATGTTAACAGCACAGAAATGGTAAAATGTTTTCCGTATTAGAAACTCTTTCTGAAAGCTTCGTTAGGGGAAAAGGCAGAGGTGCCTTTTCTCCTACATAACCCTTTTTCTCTGGGATGTCTGCTATGAACAATTCCAGAATGCAATTGGAAATGATTGAGTCCTGAAGGAACTGGCTGATGCAGTCACCAAGCCACTCGTAATGATATCCGAAGTCCTGGTGATCAGGCAGAGGTCCCTGGTGACTGGAAAAAAGGCAGAATAGCACTCATTTTTTAAGAAGAGTAGAAAGGACCCAGGGAAAAAGCACCTTGTCTGCCTCCCCTCAGTGCCAGAGGAGACCGTGGAGCAAATCCTCCTGGAAGCTATGCTCAGGCCCATAAAAGAGAGGGAGGTGCTGTGGGATAACCAACATGGCTTCCCCAAGGGCAGGTCCAGCCTGACCAACCTTGTCGCTTTCTACAGTGGTGTAACTGCAGCAGTGGACAGGGCAAGAACCTCTGATACCCTCTGTCTGGACTCCAGAAAGGCCTTTGACATCGTCCCCACGACATCCTTCTCTCCAAATTGGGAAGATATGATGGGTGGACCATTTAATGGAAGTGGTTATGGGATTGTACGTAGAGAGTGGTGGTCAGTGGCTCAGTGTCCAGAGGGAGATCAGTGATGAGTGGTGTCAGGGGTTGGTACTGGGACCAGTGCTCTTTAACATCTTCATCAGTGACATCAACAGTGGGATGGAATGCGGCCTTAGGAAGTTTGCAGATGGCATCAAACTGTGTGTGGTGAGGTCACACACCCGAAGGATGGGATACCATCAAAGAGACCCAGACAGGCTGAGCAGTGGGCCCAGGAGAACCTCATGGGTTCAGCAAAGCCAAGTGTGAGGTCTGCACCTGGATTGTGGCAGCCTGCACTCAGTACAAGCTGGAGGCATGAGGATGGAGCACAGCCCTGCCAGAAAGGACCTGGGGGTGCTGGTGGGTAGCAGCTGGGCATGAGCCAGCACTGTGCCCTCACAGCACAGAAAGCCAACCGTATCCTGGGTGCATCCAAAGCAGTGCTGCCAGCAGGGCCATGGAGGGGATCTGCCCTTCTGCTCTGCGCTGAGACCTCACCTGGAGCGCTGCATCCAGACGGGGAGTCCTGAGCACAGGAGGGATGTGGAGCTGTTGGAGCACATCACAGGAGGGCCACAGAAGTGATCCCAGGGATGGGACACTGCCCTGCAAGGACAGGCTGAGAGCTGGGGCTGTGCAGCATGGAGAAAAGAAGGCTGTGGGGAGATCTGAGAGTGGCCTTCGGTATCTAAAGTGGGGGTTAATAAGAAAGAAGGCTTTGTAGCAGGGTCTGTGTGATAGGACAAGGGGAAATAGTTTCAAACTGAAAAAGGGGAGATTTATATTGGGCATAAGGAAGTAGTTTTCTACAGTAAGAGCAGCGAGGCATTGGAACAGGCTGTCCAGAGAAGTGGTGGATGCCCCATCCTTGGCGGCATCTGAAGTTAGGCCTGACCAGGCTCTGGGCGTCCTTACTGAGCAGCAGGTGTTCCTGTTCATGGCAAGGGAGTTGGACTGGGTGATCTTTAATGGTCCCTTCCAACTCAGAAGATGCTATGGGTCTCTGATGCCTCCTCTAGTAATGTCTTCTTTCTCACTTTGATTCCTAGGTTTTTGGGTCCACTGCAATGACTCCAAACTGAATGTATGCAGCGTGGAGGAGGTGTGCAAAACCCAGGCCTACATTCTTTTTTACACTCAAAGAACCGTGCAGGACAAAGCAAGAATCTCAGAAGAACAACTCCAAGCTCAGGTGCTGTCCAAAAATACTGATAAAGACAGAAGACTGACATTCCCATGATGGGAAACTATGACTCAATTAATGGTCTCTTGTTTGTTTGTTTTTGTTTTTTAAACCATTGGTGTTCACATCTTTCCTCTCTGTAGGGAAAAGGGCTGGCTGCAGGAAGGGGATCAGGTTGTGGTGCTGTTTGCCCAGGTTTGGAGAAATGTATCAAGCTGTGCAGTTCTCATATGTAAGACTGTAGTCAGAAACTTGTTTTTTAAACAAGGTTGTTGAATTACTCAAAGCAAAGAGTTTGATGCTTCGTATCGTTAGTCTCATATTAAAATGGAATTGAGTAAGGCATATAAGAAATGAGCACAACCAAGAAATAGCAGCATTCAGCTGGTATCACAAAACCTTCAGATCGTCGTAGTGCTGATAAACCTCCAGAAGGAGCAGGTTTAGTACCTTCCTTTAACTGTCGTTAGGATTTCCACCCGGTATTTCTTTTATGGCTGTTGAATAGTTGGAGCTGGCTGCCCTAAAAGCCTTTCTTGCTGAAGAAGTGTTTGACATTCATCAGCAAGAAGAACGGTTGCCCAGCCCTCAGCTATCTGTGGTACCGATTTCTTTGCCCTCAGATAAAGGCAAACAAATGGCTGGCAATTTCTTTCAATAGGTCTTTTTCTCAGTGTTACTGGGACTTTATGCACACTTCATAGTCTGCTCTCTAGGCTGAACTGAACTGGCAGCTAAATTTGCTAGGAATGTAATTCTGGAAACAGTTCTGCTCTGGAGAGTGTTTTTTGTTTTATTTTTTAAAACAAATAAAAAAAAACAAACACCTTGTAATAAAACAAGAACGTACCTGTGTGATCAGAGTCACATCTGTTTGCACTGGCAGCAAAAATAAAGGCCTGCACTGCACGTTTCTGCTGGCATAACTTTGCTGATCAGGGTTAGAAAGAAGTGAAAAGCCTGACTTGCACAGCTGTGACAGCAGAAGCAGTGACTGGGAGGCAACTTACACTGGCAGATGAGCACTTTGTTTTGTTTTGGTTTGTTTTCCAAGGGAATAGCGTGGAGGTGACAGCAGTCGGAGCCAGAGCGAAGTGCTGCTGACTGCACCTGCAGTGGCAATACTGACAAACTGGTTGTCACACGAGGCCCTGAATGACTGAAGGCAGTGAGGTTGTGCAGGTGCAGTGGGCAGCGTTTAACCTGTGAAGCTGTTATTCCTGCTGGGTCATAAAGGGAGGCAATTAAGTTAACTGTCGTATTCCTCAGTTTGAAAAGTTACAGAAATGTGTCTGTATCATGGTTGTAGAACACGGGGCTCTGATTGACTGCTTCTGGTCAGTCCTCAGCCTGCCGTTGGACCTCAGGAATTTTTGTAGTTTGGAGTCTGGCTGCTCATGTTTCTTATTGTCATCAAATCTGAATATGTGACTGCAAAGAGATGTGTTGCATTTCTTGTTGGTTCTTTTTTTCTTCTTTCCTGAAGCAGCTATGGGTTGAAGCATGCAGTTCTTCAAGCACTTGATGCAGTGTTCAGGTAGGGGAGCTGGAAGCTTGTTTTTCTTCCCCTTCCTGCTTTCATCCTGGCTGGCATCAGCCACAGCATTGACACCTGTGCATTATTGTTGGAGTGGGCAAAGAGGAAAATCCCCCAAACACAATTCCTCTTTTTTCACTGCTGCTACTTCAACTTTTGATTTCCTGCGGGCACTTCAGCTGCTGTTAATCACTTCAGTCATGCAGAGATGAGCAGAGCAAACAAGAAACTCCTCTTTTGTTAGAGCACAGCGCCGCTCTACGTCTCCTCTGTCCATAAAGAATCCCATTTCCTCTGCGTCTGAGCAGTGCGCCACTTTTTCAGCCTACACAAACTGATTTTTAGCAATTAAGAATAATTTGAGTTTGTATGCTTGCTTTATTTTGTGGAGGTTTTTTTTGTTTGTTTGTTTTTAGACAAACCAGTTTGAAACGGTCTTATGGGAACAAATTAAAAGATTTTAATTCTGTTTCTCTAAATGTTGCATGGTCTGGAAGGATTTCCTGTGAATGTCTGCATATCTACGTGTTTACTAGGTAGCTTTTTTTTTTCCCTACTAGTAATAAAAATAAATAAAAATATTGTAGGCCAGACTGAGTACAGAATGACCCAGCTTAGTGCAGGGGAAGCTGGTCTGGCTTCAGCACAGGCAGAAGTTGACATTCATGAAAGAATGAAAATGAAATGCTTGTGGTGTTCAGATCTGTGCTGGAGGCTTCATTAGAGCAGAGTGCAGCTTTGTGGGGACTGCTTGTCTCACAGGGAAAATGAAAGGAAAAAAGGTGTTTGGTGCTGCCTCCTTAATCTCAGAAGTGAAGGGAAAATGGAGCAGTCGTGTTTGCAGTGACTGCCAAATACTGTGATTGCATCCTGCATCCCTCACCGTGCGGGCCGTCGGTGTGCAGATTGATGGTTGTTGCTGTAGTGAGCCAAAACTTTGCTACGAATGCTCATCTTTTGACTGAGTGTTTTGCATTAGTATTTGTATTCAGGTAGAAATAGGGTTGTCATGTGAATGGACTAGATTACAGAGGGGGGTGGGAGCAGCCCATTAGCCGTGGGTGCAGCTGGGTGCCCCGCAGGTTGTGTCGTGTTTGCTGTTGACAGTTTTGACATTAGTGACCTCTCCATGTAGCCTGGTTGCGCTGGGACGTGGAGATACTGCGGTCAGAAAAATATTGCCCTGATAGGGAAGGAATGAATTATACTTCAAAGTAAACTTGCTTTTTCCAGCACTGTGAGGCTTCTGAGATATTCAGCTTTTATTTGGAAGCGATAGCGTATAGCATTTTTTATGCTGTTTGGTTTCTATTGGTCTGCTGTAGGCATCTTCATATAAGCATAGCTCAATGTCCCTGCCATGGTGACACTGTTCTATAGTGTCTTGTTTGCCAGAAATAAAATTGGAAGTTACCTCTTCATATTAATAAGACAAACATCAAGCTTGCAATGACTGTGAAGCCCACTGAAGTGAATGCCTGCCCGTGGGCTACCTGTAACGCAAGCTCTGTCCCTCCTTTAATGGTGTGGCTTGAAATCCTGCTCCAATCCAGGTGTGTATTCAGAATCATTCTAAATGTAGGCTCTACTCCTGCAAGCACCTAAGCAACTGATCTAACTTAACTCAGGTGTGGAGGTGATGCTTTTGAGTCCCATGCTCAGTGTCTGCAGGATCAGAACCTTTGTTCTGGTTGAACTGGGAGTGGAATTTGTTTCTGTACATGCAGGCACACCTGTGCTGGGGTTTCAGTCATGTAACAAGAAGCCAGCTGCCTTGAGAGATGCTGAGAGCAAGTGTTAGACTCCTGGCACTGTGCAGGTTGCTGTCTGAAGGCAAAGCAAACCACAGGACACTTGCAGGCTGTCAGTGTTGTGAGTACGCAGCTCTTGGCACAGAACTGTTCCCAGCACAACCTTCTTCTCTTCAACTTGTACGTAAACCAGTGTTCATTTTTTGCTTTTAAGAATGAAGAACCTTAATGTGTTCGTGGCCAGATAGGCTGCAACATTGGCTGTAGTTATTGGGAAATACTTTATTTTAGTTAACATTCTGCCTCTAGCAAGTTAGTTGCATAAATTTGCCTTTGTTACCACTTTACTACCTGCATGCCCAAGTTGAACTATGCATACTGCAAAAACAGTTTCTCTGCAAAGCAATGGGGGAAAAAAAAAAAAACACAACAAAAAAAAGACACTTTTTTCCCCCGCTGTTTCCAACCAGAACAGTTCTCTGGTCTGGTTTGAAGTTCTCTGTTCAAAGCTGTCAGTTCTCTCACAGCTTTGAAGCTGTCGACATGAAGCAGCAAACAGAATAATGTGCATTAAGTGTGTGACATCAGACTCTTCTTGGTGGCTGTGTCACCCCCATTTCCTTAGGGGATTCCAGCCATTCTTTTTCAGCACAGGAATATAATTGGAAGCAGTAAAAGCACTGAGTGCATCCTGTGGACTCACTGTCAGAAGTTATTTTTGCTTCTAAAAGGCAAAAGCCATCTTCCTAATGTCCAACTTAAATCTCCTCACTGTTAGCTTGAGACCATTTCCCCTTGTCCTATCACAGCCCCTGCCAGAGTCTGCCCCCTTCTTTCTTACAGCCCCTTCAGATACTGAAATATTGTCCTGGGGGTAATTTAGACACACTTGTGTTGATTGTAACATCCTCAGGCCCGAATGTGCTTAATTGCATCCTGACAAAACTTCTGGCTGCTGCCAGACCCCAGGATAAGCTCCAGTGGAAGTAACAGTACTGCAAAATGAGAAGTATTTATGGAAGATACAATAGACAGGATTAGTTTTACCTGCCAACACAATTTAGTGAGCTAATTTTGTATGATTCCTGAGATTTGGTGCCTTGTATCCAATAACATTTTGCATGGAACAGAAACACTGGGAAATAAGTCCTGACTGAAGCAGCAGATTTGTGTTTTGTAGGTACTCTCAGCATCACTGGCATCTTCACATTTCATGTCCATATGAAGAAGTTGACCAGCAAGCTCAGAGGCTATGATTTTATCCTTACATGTTTGAAATATCTGTATATGTCATAATTCAGAGGCCAATTGGATTTAGATTTTCTCATGTAATCCAGCCCCTTCCAGTCAGTCACTGAGCTGAGCTCTGGCAGAGCGTGTGGTGCAGAGCGAGGAATCGGAAGCTCCATGGGGAGTTTTTGGTAGAGGAGCTGTGCCTATGGAAGGGGCCTTCTGTCCCAAACCTGGGTTTGGATATAAAACCTCAATTTAGTGGTATCTCATGTCCGTTACATTAATATTGATGCCTGCTTATTGCAGATGGGAATCTGAAGCATTCCGGCAGGCTTTTGAATTTTGAAACCCACAGCATAGACTGAATGATGAAAAGCAGAATGTGTTTGTCACCTGTACCTGTTGGTGATTATCTGTCTTAGTTGATTTAAGGGGTGTCCCTTTAGGCCACTCCTGTTGTGCTTGTTTTATTTTAAATTCTATGATTCTCTCTGTGTGAATGGGTTCCATTTGTGTAAATGATAATTTGCATGGTGGGCCAAAACAGTTTTGAGAGATCCGATAGTCCTACTAATGCAGTTTGGAAAGTACATTTCCAGAAGGGAGGGTGGGGGGTAGAGAGAGGTGGGGGAAAAAAAAGACAAGACCAGCCCAATGGGCCCAGAATTGGCTTTAACCACTGCTATTTATTGTCCCGAAGCATATGCATGATATGGAGGAATGCACTACAGTTACAGAGCAGTGCTGTGCTACTGATTTTGTGCAGGCTGGGGGCCAGGAAGGAGAAAGGGAGAAACAAGGGGACAAATAAAGCCAAACTGAGCACAGCAGCGATTTACTTCCAGGAGAAATGGGAAGCACTGGATTTGGTGACCTTATGTGTCAGAGGACCATGTATTTTGCTGGCAGGGACATTAACAAAATCCAGACGCAGTCTCATCAGCTGCAGTCTGGGTGCAAACATTTCTCCTGCTGGTAATCTCATACTGCCAAATGAATGGTGCTTCTCCATTAAGTATTCCTAAGGAACGGGACCCCAAATTCTCGAGTTTTTAGAGGGAGCTGCCTGCTTAAAGCCCCCATGTCACTGTAAATGCTTGTGTAGCTGGAAGTGAAACAAGAGATCATGCAGTTGATGATTTGAACGCCATTTGATTTGTACTTCTGTCTCAGTAACGTGCTTTCCGTGGAGGCGGCAGGTGCTGAATGTGATTCTTTCAGTGCTGAACTGCTGGGTCTGGCCCTGACTCCTCAAACTAGGACTTTGCGGGGTAGAAAAGGGCTCCCTCTGTGTCTGCTCCTGTTTTACACTTTCCATGTGAGCACATCTTCATTGGAATGTAGGGCTTTTGAGTGCTTCTCCTCTTGAAGAGGAACAAAGAGGAACAAACGCCCCTCCAGCACGGCAGTGCTAAGTGTCGAGAACTTGGGCTGTAGCCTTCTCTCCTTAGAGAACCATATCCATGCTATGGGGATAATTGTTACACTGAGTCAGTATGAGTGAATCAGTGCAGCGTCTGTGGATTCGCGAGGCTAAAGAATGTATGATAACATGGACAAACCAGAGCTTTGCAGATGAGCAATGCCACTGCCAGCTTGTGGGGCACTGAACGGAATCTGTAGCTGAGGAATTCAGATGGCTTACCCACGTGGCTCCTCCTTTGCACAGGGAGTGCAATGTCTGTTCTGCACAACTCCGTGCCTCTGACTCATGAACGCTTCCTAGCTCATCTTCATTCTCCTCATATTTATTAAATGAAGTTACGAAGCCTGGCCCTTACGGCTGTTGCCTACTGCTATGAGATGAACTCCAAATATCCATGTGAAAACCAAGTGCACAGCTTGTTGGTCAGACGTGCTGAGTACAGGAACATGCCACTAGCAACCTTCAGCCCATTTGGAAGAGGCCCTGTTTCTTGTGTGCTTCAGCTTTGGTTAAGCAGCCACCAGCTATTTAAGGCACAGCCTTCTGTACATTTACCTAAATGAGAGTTTTACAGGAAAGGAACAAGTAGGTATGTTTGTTTCCAGTAAAACTTCAACCAATTTTCTTTTGGGTGAAAACAGCTGCAATGGTCAGGATGGTTAAAACTGTCTTCAAGAAAAGTGCAGCCCAGGCAAACTCCCTTGAGTTGAGACAGGCTTGCAAGGGATGCTGCCAGGGAAGCCCCCCTTTCTGCTGGTGCCCTGGAAGTTCCACTGGTGACCTGAGCAGGGGTAGAAGGAAAGCTAATCCTCAGGGCTTCTGAAGTTAATCCCACTCTAAGATTGCTGGAAGGGTGCTGCTGCAGGCTGGTTAGAACATGAGCATTTCTTTCAGTATGAAATCCCCTTGCAGCCACTACGAAAACGAGTAAAAAGCTACTCTGCTTTCCTGGGTAAGGATCAACACTGGAGTTTGGTGGCTTTTCTGATTTTTTTTTTTCCAGTCACTTCTGTGGGGGCTTTAAGTCAGAACAGCCTCTGGTATCTGCTCTGTTTCTGCTCCTTTTGTCACTAATGACTTAAGCTGCTGTGTCCCATGCTGTGCTCATGACTGAGGCTGCCTCTGCTTCAAGGACGCTTCAAGGCAGCAGCAAGCGACGAGAGAATCCAATTAATTACTGAATGTGTTCAGGCAATCTGGCTGCCTCGCAGCTCGGTGCAAACACTCTTGAAGCGCTGCTTCTGACTGCAGGTTGAGCAGCTTTTATTTCAGTTGTTTGTGAAGACAGCAGCCAGGAAGTCACCTATGGCAGCCTTATGTACTTAACTGTGAACTGCCCCCTGCTGAACCCAGGCCTCAGGAGGAGATCAGTGTGTTCTAAATCAAAACCAAGATTAACTACAAAATGACCTACTGTTCTAATTAATCCCCTTTCCCTTCACAAAACCGTTCCTGCAAAATTTGACATCCTTTTGAAGTACAGATAATCCATTTCTTTACAAGATGTTAAAATTTCTGCTTCGAAAACAGCATTTTAAAATATGTTTCAGTAGTGGAATACACTTCTCTTTTGGGGCAGTTCTCAGTCACAAAACACAGGCAGTACAACTGCAAGAGAATGTTTTCATTTAAAACCCTGTGCATAACTACCCAAAGAATCCAAAGCCATGTTGCAGTCAGACTGCCACAACGCTCAGGGCTGGGAAGTCATTCTGCTCTTCAGGCAGCGTATTCTGGGAGCTGCAGCGTTCTGTCTCTGATTGAATTCAAGCTACAGCTCCCACGTCAGCCTCACGTCGTGCTTTCAGTGTCCCTTGAACAGCTTCACCACCCATAGCGGGACTTGAAGTCACTAAAGGCAAGTTGTAGTTTGAGTCCGGCGCACAAACATGCTATGCAACACCGAATGGCTTCTTCCCACAGAGCCCTGATTCCTGTACAGTAAGTGCACCAGCTTCATCTCAGCCACACACAATCCATGCACCCTTCTGGTGGTTGGAGTTTACCCACGGCTTCCCACGGTTCTGTTTTCCTTTTGAACAAGGATCCGGCACACAGCCCAGGACTGGATTTGTTTGTTTGTCTTTCGGGTGTGAAATAAAAATCATGTTTTTATGATTTTTGTAAATCTTTACTCTTTTTACACCTTCTTTTTGTAAACTGAAGTTTCTTATTAAAAAAAGAAAAATTTCACTGTGTCATGTAATTATTCTACCTTTATTAAGGAACTAAATGGTGATACAGAATTCCATGCACAATGGCTTTACATCCTCCAAGAAACAATTCTCACTGCCTTTTGCAGAACGGGTTGAATAGGAGTTCTCCCTCTGCCACGTGAAAGTTTTTTTGCTCCTTAGCATTGCTTCACATGGGACGGCTTTCACTGGGAGCAGCAGTTCTGCAAAGGACAAGAATGGAAGGTGCTCTGTGAGCACTTCAGAACTTACAACTGCTGACGAGCTCCCATTTGGTGCCGGGCTGTGGCAGGAGGGCAACTCTTCCGCCTCGCAGCCGAGTTCTTCCCGGGCTCTGTAAGAGTGGAGTCAAACGGCGTCGTCTCAGTCTGCTTCCCGAGGCAATCCCGCACAACAGCCCTTGCACACAGCGGGCCGCTCCGGGCTGAGGCGCGCTCCAGCCGCAACCCCCCATCCCACCACATCTCCGTCCGACACAACCCGCAGAACGCCCCGAGCTGGAAGGGCCCCACCGGGAGCACCGCGTCCCCGCCGAGGCCGCCCAACCGGATCCCCGCCCGCACGGCGCCGCCCCCGCCGCCGCTCACCGCCGCTACGCCACGGGCTGCGGGGCCATCAGGTCGATGTCCGCCAGGTTGCGGGCGACCCACACTCCGGCAGCGAACAGCCCCACGTTCACCAGCAGGTTCCTGAAAAGCACAGCGGCGGCTGCCTGCGGGCCCCGCGCCCGAGGAGCCGGCCCCGGCCCCGGCCCCAGCCCCAGGCCGGTCCCTCTCCCTCTCCCGCACCGCACCGACCTGCGGAAGTCGTTCCTGTCGGCGGCGAAGCGGTACGCCGCCCGCAGCCACCCGCCCGGGCCCTGCGGAGGAGGGGGACGAGGCTGCGGAGACGATGCAGCCGATCCGCCCGCCTGCGCGCCGCCCGCCGCCATCCTGCCTCGCGCCGCCCGGCGCCGCGCGATGACGTCACCGCCCCCGCCGGCTGCGGCCTCGCGCTCCGCGCCTGCGCGGTAACGCCCCGCCGCGTGCCGAATCCTCTCGCGTGTCGTCGCGCCGGTAACGGCTGTTGCGTCCTGCGCCTCCTAGCGCGGCTGCGGGCGGCGCTGCGCACGGAGCTTCGTCCTCGCTTCGCTTCGCCTCGCTTCGCCTCGCGGCGGCCCCATCGACTCTTCGCGTCCGGCATCGCGGCGTTGCGGCTCTGCCCTCGCCGCTGGCCCTTCCCTTCGTCGCTCCGCGCTTACAGCCGGCAGGACAGGCTCCGCACCGAGCGGTGGGAATCCCGGCCCCCTCCTCCCGCGCCCTTGGGGCCGTTGCCGCAGCTCGGACCCCGCCGCCCCGTGGGACGAGGGCCACATGTAGGTGCCGCGGCTCCCTCGGGCGGCTGCGGGCGGGACGCCGAGGATGCCGGCCCTCCCCAGCCGGCCCGGGAGTCCGCCGAGCCCAGGCTGGGGGGGCTGGGTCGGATCGGAGCAGGCCCCCTCGCTCCGCCGCCGTCCCACGCGAGAAGCGGCGAGCCCCGAGCCCTGCGGCCCGTTCCCGGCGCCGTTCCCGGGCGTGTGCCGCAAACCTGCGGAGAGCCGTGTGCGGGCAGAGGCCGAGCTGGGCGGGGAGCGTGGGAAGGCTTCGGGGGGCCCGAGAGGTCGGGGCTGAGCGCAGCGGGGACGGCTGTGGATGGCAGCGCTGTGAAGCTGAGCTGGGGGAGATGGGAATGCCCGTGCTGCGGGATGCGCTCACACCGCCTCTTTCCTCGCAGCTGAGCGCTGGTCCGCTAAGGAGCGACTCCGTGCAGGGGAAGGAGCAGGGATGGAGCAACGCTTTGGCAAGATGTCCTCGAGGCAGCAGTGCAGGAGGGCGCGCCAGGAGGTAGGTGGGGCTGCGGGTGGGGCTGGGAG